TGTTAACATAGACTCGAGAACCAGAAAAGCTAGAAAGCTGGAATTTTGAGGGCTTGTTCCCCATCGACTTCAGTTCCTACATGGACGAGGAACATCCCCTTAAAATTTCAGCTTTCCAGAATGTGAATTTCTCGTTCTTTTTATTTCGTCTAATTCGTTTCAAGTGAACGATGAAATTTCGTGGGAACACGTCCGTGGGTGATGAATTCAAAATTTACGAGAAAAATGATGCCAAATTTTTTTGTTGCAGATTTACGGGTGGTGTGAATGGGTCGAAAAATGCCAAATTTTTTCGATGATATCTGTAAATTATTCGATTTTGAGCTCTACGATGATGTGCTTACACTCTACGAATTGTCCTACAGCGAACAGACTGGTCTTAGCAATGTACAAACGGCCACCGTGTTCTCACTTGTTGCCGAATCCTATTTTCAACTTGAAAATTTTGTTAAAAGTCAAGATGTAAGTTGTTTTCGTCTGTTTTTTCACCGTGAGATTCATAGTTTCATTTAGACCCTCTGTGTGTGTGTGCGTGCGTGTTTACAGCTAAGGGATGAAACACAGGCTGCACCATGATTTGTTCATCGATTATGTATACGGGATGAATATCTGTTTCTAGTATCTGGACTTTTTTTCCTATTTTGTTTCACCTTCGAGGAACAAGAGGGTGTTTTTAATGGACCAAAACATTTTTTACCATTTCTTACCATTATAGTAAATTTCTTACCAAACATTTCTTGCCAGTGCAATAATTTTATTAAAATAATTTTGCTACTTCCACTAATTTAATAGTATCTTCCCCTCTATTTTTCTTCCTACTTCAAAATGCCTTTCTACTTATAAGAAGAAAAAAATTTGTAGCGCATGTTTGAAGTGTCACATTGTAATTATTGTGAAACACTTGGTTTGTGAAATACCCGGAAAAGAGCAGTTAATTATAATGTCAAATTTTGCTCTTTTTTTGGTACTTAGCAAACCAATTATTTTCATAGTATGACAAAAGGAATCAAAGCTGATATAAATTCGAGGGAATTTTTAGATTTGGAGTTAAATTTCACTGTTATTAGAAACAATCGCTTAAAAATTCGTGTAAAATTAATGGAAAGAGGTATCTTTTGAGGTTTTTTTTCTTTTTTTCTCATGTGTGATTTATTAGGGATGTGGTCCTTGCTTATTCTCTGATGAATTTTGTCGGTGTTGTTAGTAATCTCAGGCCGTGGCCTCCTCTTCAAAAACATAAATTAGTCCAATAATCCTGCTTTGTCCTCTTTCATTTAACCAAGTGCATGATATTTATATATGCCTTGTTTAATAAAAAAAATGTATTAGTATAAATTGAATTTTTTTAGGCTTTTTATCGCGCTGTCACATTGGCGAAAGCACTCCCAAAATCACAATGCAAAGAACTGGTATGTTCAGTTATTGTTAGGCCTTCATCGAGCACTTGGTGGATATAGGGCTGTACTGATGATTCCAATTCCTACCGCGAAGCATGCTGTGCTCAGTGTGTGTGTTTACAGCTAAGGGATGAAACACAAACTGCTCCCCAAAAATATTTTTGTCACACATAATATTTAGACTTTTTTCGCATATTTTTTCCTTAATATTATCATTGTCATAGTTTATGTCACCACTTTTCAAAAATCGTAGCCCAAGCAACTTACT